AAGTCTTCAGTGAACGCTCCCTTTGTCAACTGCTGCTTGGAAGGTTCACACGGTCAAATGCTCATTGGCATTTCTTCATACCCACTTCTTCCACTCACTTCCCATTGCTTCAGCCGAAGGGCTCTCCTCTCACTAGGAGTGGGTACCAGGCCAAAGGCGGTATGCCGGCTTCTCGGAATTCTCGAGCTTTCCTGAGTAATTGAGGAAACAGACGAGCCCATTCCATCACCAAAGTACGTTGGGCAAAACTCATTTGCAAGAAGAATTGGATGCTAGACAGTTCCTGTATGTATATTTCCATTACTTTGTGATTTATCCAGCGACCTCTTCGCCTGACCAGTTCCGAATCCTCGGAGCATTGCAAGATCCATGTTGCTCCCCCCGGGTCTAAGAGACCCAGGGTCCAGGGATTTAGATCCCTGACAAGCTCCGGTGGGGATCTGCAACGCTCTGAGGAGATGGTTGAACCGAACTCGAAAAGTCTGCGCTGAAAAGCCCCACAGTCTCTGATGCGGGAGCAAGTGTTGGAAAGCAACATTTACAACTGCCAGTAAATCTTCAATATCAAGTTTTGCGCTTTGGTGTCTCGCTGCCACAAATCTGGTTTTTGGTTCTTGTAACGATAACAATGCAAAATTGTTTGTAAACAGCGTGTCAGCCGGAAGGAGTAAATCCTTCCTCAAGGCTCCTGTCAACTCTCCCGTTCTCAATAAAGCTCCAAATCCTAGGCAAAGAAGTCCAGCCACATCTATCCAGCCCCAGGCAATGCTTAAAGCCGTCATTGCTAACAATATCTGCCAAGGCATTGAGATGTGGTGCACTGGTCTTTCATCTTTCACCCAGGCAAAAGCCAAATCCCAGGCCGGTTGCAGCTGTCTTCTCCAGACTGGTCTCATGCTTGCAATGCTGTTGATCGTTTCGACAAAATGGGCATAAGTACGCCCACTGTCATACAGTCTTCTACCGTAGGTGATCAGAAGCTCATTTACCCTTTCCACATGTTCTATAGGACGTGCCAAAATCAAATCAATGTCAACGGAAACTCTCTTGCGCCACAAAGAAAACTCTCCAAAAAGCTTTGCTCTGTTTGACGAAGTGGCAGCAGTGACCGGTCTTCCTGAAGGAAGTGGGGGCTTCTGCTGTCGTAGGCCTTGTCGTTTCCAGTCCCCCGGAGTACGAGGATGCAGCATTCCATGGCAGGGGACGGCCCAAAGACCTATGCTACCTAAGGAAAATATGACTGGCCGAGAGCAGAGAAAGCAAAGTGGAGAGAGGCAAATCCAACAGGAGAAGCCGAGCAAGTGAAGAAAGCGCACAAATCCATTGACGAAATGGCCTTCGCCGGGAAATCCAAGCGTCTGATCAAAATCCAAGGACACGTCACAATCATAAGGCTGCGGGACAGTGGAACGATCACAACCCGGCACCAGAGACTCCTGCACATGCTTCGCTGGATGCCCATGCACGTTAGGTGTCCAAAACAAACCACGCACCCTCTTCCGATCAGAAACGAAACTGTTGACCTTATATGAGCAAATGGCTACAAACAACCGTATCCAATTTGAGGCCCATCTACGTAAAGGCATAATCTTGGATAAAGCATGGAAATCCTCAACATCTAGTGCTTCGGCACAGACACTGCTCGAAGGCTCTCTCACTTCCCTGTCCCGTGTGGGGTCATCAGCCGTGTTCAGCCGAGTTGGCACGAAAGGCAGGGTAAAGTAAATGCATCCTGCAACCACGGCGGCACCAAACTTTCTGAGGAGGGGGTTTAGAGCCTTACTTGAAGACCTCCCCTTGGATGCAGCACACCTAATCACATTGGAATCAACTAAGTTCACGACCCGGAGTGGGGTTGGAGACCTCACCATGCGTTCGGCAAGACGAAGCAAACTCTTCATTTCCAGCAGGTTTATGTGTCTTGGCCTCTGGAACCACCATGAGTCTTTCTTCTTCCACTGTAAACTGGTCGCAGCAAAATTTACAAGCTGGTTCTCAATGCCCCGGACTTCACCCAGATTGTTCTCGTCAATTTGCTGTCTTCTGTTTTGTAACGCATCATAAAAGCACTGAGCAATCGAGGCAGCAAGATCATCTGTATAGGAAGCTGAAGCTTTTGTATACTTGCCTTGAACGACCACGTGGGAATGATCGCGGCTACATCTTCGGTCCAGCTTTCTGATGCTCATGTTTACTGCCAAAAATCGGAAGCTCTTCAGATGCACTGACCCAAAAGAGCACGAGTCAGCCCTCACTACAGATGCACGTTCTTTTTCTTCGAGCCTTGACCAGGAGGGTAAAAGTCTCATCATAGAAGTCCAAGGCTGTTCAGCCAATCCTGGAAGCTTCAACCTGTAAGCAATCTGCAGCAAACATAGGGCTCTCAGCGCAAGCAAATTTCCCAAAAACGTCTGGCGGTCCCTGGGATCATACCCGAAAGGCTTTTGCCTGGATCGAAGAGGCGGTCTTCGGATCATGGAAAAAGAAATACACACAGGTTCGACCATAATGCTAGAAAGCAAACCATCCATCATCAAGTAGCTCAGCCAGGAAATCACTCTGGGGTGAGCCATATCCATCTCCTTGCTAAAGGCTATGTCGATGGGAGGGCCAACATTAAGCCCAAGTCGGCTCGCTGCTTGACTTACTTTCGAGGAACCTGCGTAGACTTCAATGAAATGATACTTGAAAGCAATAGGGCGGCCTGCGGAAATTTCAGGACACCCACGGCCTAGGTCAAGGTCCTCGGCGCCCTCTTCTCGCAAGCCCAGCCTCTGCAGCAAAGACTCATATGGAGTTCTGAGCCTTGTGTAGGCCCCTTTGCTCCTGCATGATCTCCATAGAACTTCAACCATATTGCGGGGACACTCTGCAGAGACGATCGCTCCCTTATTTTCGGAGGCGTCTGTGGCAAAAATCTCTGAGGCAAAATCAGCCCCCAGGTCTGCAACGGCCAGGGGGGCTAAAGCGGCCAAGACAACCAGCTCATCTGCTACACTCCTCGGAAGGGGAACTAGCTTGGGATAGTTTGAATCAATTGCACCTGCATCAACTAAACGGTGCGAGGCAGAAAGTAGACTCATCAAAGGCCTCCGAAACATCAGCGCTGAAGTCCATCCTCCAAGCAAGCACAAGTGAAGCACATCCGTTGTGCATCGCAGCTGTGCCAGTTGCAGTGTTATCTGGCTAAGCGACAGCCGCTTATGCAGTGGAGAACCCAAAGTCGTAATACCTCGCCTCCCAGCTGTATCAAATGAGTTGATCTCCGCTCCAATGATTTTTGCTCGACATTCACCAAGAACATCTTTGTGCGGCGACCCTTTTATGTTAAGGCTGTCATAGGCTTCCTGACTTTTAGCAAAGCAATCAGCGGCCAGACTGTCTCCAGCCTTTCCAGCACGCTCCTCTCGAGAGATGGCAAAATAGTCGTCGATCACCAGCCCCTGACAAAGCGATCCACCTGAAAAAGGTCTGCTTGAAACAATCCTTTCACAGTCCACCAGAAGGCCTTTGGATTTCAGGAGCTGTTCATGTGCCCCTGTGGCAATTTCAACTCCCGCATGGTCGCCCTGGAAGATGGCCTTGAAACAGACATGCACCCTCTCGCTCTCATCGATCTTTCTGCTGTGAATGTGAGGCGGCCGCCCGCCTAAATGGAGTCCATCACCAACTTCCTCACGCCTTTTCGCCGGCCTTTTTCTTCCACTGCAGTTGAGAAGCATATACTTGTCATAGGCTCTGAGGCCCCTGAGCAAATGAAGTGGAACTGAAGGCCCAACGGCATTGGATGCAGCTTTTGACTCCGTGACCCAAAATTGGTGATAAAAATCTTTGCGATCTGTGCAATAAACTCGAAAGCATTGCTTTGTAGCATCCAGATGTAAATCCAACAAGTCACTACCTGCAGGGAGGCTCTTACTTGGACCTGGCACTTGGCATTCACAATAATTTCTTCCACGCCGGTCTCCAATTTGACGGTCCTCCTCAAGATTTTTGAAATTGTTGAAAACTCTTACTAGA